GTGACATCAGTTAGAGGGCAGGCCGCACACAATGCCCAGCAGCAAACAAAGCCCCAACACACCCAGAGAAGAAACAAGCAGACGCCTCCCGGACAACACACACACAGCACAAGTGAGTGCAGTCGCGGGTGAATTAAACAGCGCCCAGCCCACAACGGGGCAGCAATGAAATGGAATAAAAAACATTAATATGTACTCAGCCTCCAGGGCCGCACGCAATTAAAAGGATACTACCGCCCGATGCACACACCCACACACACAGCTCATCAGCACACAGCCACAAGGGTCATCGCTCCCACAGCCAGCAGCAGCGGTGTACACATCCGTGCATAAGTGCTGCCGTCCGTCTTGCCAGCCGCAGTCGCCAGAGGAGTAGTCACATCAGTTGTTGTTGTTGTTGTTGGGGGAACTGTGGACGTGACGGGATCGGCAGCGGCAGTGTTTGTGGGCTCCGCCACATGCACAACATCCTTAGATGAGGGAGGAAGGTCATCACTGCTCGTTGATTCCGCTGCTGAGGGAGGAAGGGCATCACTGCTCGTTGATTCCACTGCCGTCTCTCTCGCACCAATAGATTCTGGCTGCACAACGCTTTCGTCCTCTTGAATGGCACTATCCTCAGTAGTTGGCTTCTCTTCTGTTTTCCGGCTTAGCGAGTCCTCAGCCGCCTTCGCCGCAGCTGCGGCATTCTCCGCGGCTCTTTTAATTTTGTCCCGTACCGCCGCGACGCTGCTCTCTGCCACCTTCATCTTCTCCACTGCCGCCATCAGTTTCGTCTCGGCAGTCGTGATCTTGGTTGTAGCGGAGTCATCCGAATCCTTATCTTCTGCCGCAAACAAAACCAAGACATGGGCATCTCGGGCACTCTCAGCCGCCTCCTTGGCGGGTTCGACGGCGCTGTTTGCGGTGCCCATTATGCTCTTAGCGCTCTCCGCTGCTTCGGCAAACAATTTCTCTGCAGTATCAGCCTTTGCAGCAGCATCCCCAAATCCCACTCCTGCAGCCCTCGCACTCTTCGCCGCCTCCTTCGACTTCTCCGCTGCTGCAGTGGCAGCCAAGGCGGCGTCATTGGCGCTGCTGACTTTTTTGGTCTTATTCGCCAACAGCGCAAGTTGCCACTTCGCTCGAAACGAAGCAGATAGTAAAGCTTTTATTTTCTCAGCCTCAGGCATCCCAGTAGTCGGCATTTGAGTTAGTTTCCCTGTCGCTTTTGCCGCCTTCACCGCTTCTTGTTCAGCCGTTTTATCGACCGCACTGGCGGCTTTAGTTGCAGTCCCCATTGCCTTCACCACCTCCTTCATCTGTGCATTAAGTGCGCTCGCCGCCGCTGTGGCCTTTTTCGCCTCCGCTACAGCGTCCTTCGCAGCCTCCAGAGCAAGAGTTCCGGAGCCCTTCACTTGCCCCTCATTACCTTGCGGAAGTGGAGCTTCTGCACCGCCATTACCATCAGCAGCAGCCGCGCACAGAGAGGTGCAGAAGCACAGCGCGAGGGCCAGCACGCACAGCACGTGGCGCAGCATCAGCGTCAATGTAGCCTGGGACCACCTGTGTCTGCGGGGGAGAGGAGGAGCACAGCAGGTGGCACACAC